AATTACTATATGTAAATAACTAATAACTATGCATTATAAAATAACTAATAATTATTCTAATTAAAGTATGATTGAAACTTGTCTTTTTCCAATGTTTCTAAAGTAAAGAAAAAGTCATAATTTAAAAGCTACATTATTTAATTATACTTTTATACTTTTTAATTCTACATTATTTAAGCTGTATAATAATAATATAATTTTGTTGTATAAAAATAATAATTTTATCATTTCTATCATCATCATTAATCATAACACCAGCATTAACATTAACATACATCTCATATTAAATGATTTACTAGGGAGGGGGGGGGGATAATTCAGTTGCAGTGTTTGGTGACTTACTAGAGAGGTGATAATTCAGATGCAAGTTTATGATTTACTAGGAGAATATAATAATTCAGACACAAAAATATTTATAAAGTATTTTCATATAAAGATATAACTGATTAATTTATATCGTTCATTTTCTACCACTATCACTATTTCTAATATTTCCTTTTTTAAATTATCTTTCAAAAGTATAGATTTGCAATATCACAACTCTATATTATTCCTATTTTCTTGTTTTTAATGTATATAATTAATTTATATCTTTGTTAGCTGTTACATTTTATCAGTTTTTAACTATTTGTAATTGTCTAACTTTGTATAATAGCTATAAACTGAATAAACTATGAAAAAAGAATTGCAGATTTACTTAAAACTATCCAAATTTTAACTATGCAAATATAACCAAAAAATAAAAAGAGGAATAAATTCTATATGCAATATAAAAGGAAATATTATTGCAAACATGTTGATTAACAGTTTTAATTCAGTATTTGTAATTGAAGATACATACTCTATATGGTACTCAAAATGAATAGAACCCTACTTATTCACATTAATGATTTAACTAGTGAGTCATTCCATGTCAAATCATCTAAAAATACCAAAAAATGTTACCCCATGTTTGGGATTTTGCTTATTTTTTTATATTTGATAGAGTTTATGAAAATTAGGAAAATCTGAAATATGGAACCTTTAACTCCTTACGGTTCTTGAGATATTCAGGTTTCAATTCAGGTTGCAAAAAGCATTTTTGTCATTAAATAGCAATATTTTATGGACAAAATGAGGTATCATTATGAAATTTGGAACATAGAGAATCTTCCATATGGCGGATACAAATATCAAATTTAAAAATTTTTTAGACCACCTTAAGTACATGTAAATTAAATAATAATGGCATTTATTAGAGTATTTTGACGATCAAAATGGTCGTCACCTTGATAATTTTTTTTAGGCATTACTAAAATTTACAATATAGGTATCAAACATTACTATTAATTAAGAATATATTATTGCATATTTTGACTTTTTTTAATACAGCCTTTTAAGTAAAGCTTATATAAACGCTGAGCCAAAATTTTGCCGACTCGGCATTTATATAAGCTAACTTATTTATGAAAAAATTAGCTATATCTTAATTTCATGTTGTAAAAAGTTATTTTTAAAGTCATTTTGAGGGCAATGATAAATGTATAATTTATTTCTGAATTTTTGTACCTGAGATAGACATCCCCACCTGCCCTCCCAGAAAAAAAATTAATATTTTCCTAATTTTGTTATGCCAATAAAATTAAGGTTGTTTTGTTAAAAATTTTCCATCAAGCTTTTGGAGGCCAGCTAGTTTGGGTTGGGGGGAGGGGATGCTGCAATTAGGCATATTACTAAATCCCCCCACTCTTTTTATTTTATTTTTTTAATATAAAGACAAGTTACCAGGAGAATTTTATTTGTGTGGTCAAATTGTTGTTTCTTGTACTTATAATCATTATAAAATAAAAACAAGTGATTTAATATTTTTACTGTTATTATTATTATTAGTTTTTGTTATTATTATTTTGGTTCTTACATTTATTATTATAAATATAATTTTTATTATACCATTATCATTTTAATTATTGTCACTTGTGTTTATTATATATAAACACAAGAGTGCCACTAAAAACAACTTTTTTTGAAATTGTCTGCTGCCACCCCCTAAATGTGTTTTATGTAATAAATGAACAATAAATTTAAAAAAGTTTTTTTTAAGGGTCGCTCAAGATTCTTAAACATCAAAAGGGTCCCTAATATTTTGAAAAAAAAGTTCTTCAAAAGTATATCATGTTGGGTCTCAAAAGAAGAAAAATTTTATAAAAATTTCAAAATTAAAAATCATTTTATATAAAGATTATTAGTTTAAAATTTATGGCTTAAAAATTATCATTTTTTAACAAAAAATAAAAAGTACATGTTTTTAAAGTTTTTTTTTTTTAATAAACTTTTTTAATTTGTGTTTACTCAAATTATTTTTATTATTTTTGAAATTTTTATAAAATTTCACTTCTTTCGAGACCCAACATGATATACTTTTAAAGAACTTTTTTTTTCAAAATATTAGAAACCCGTTTGATGTTTAAGGGTCTTGAGCGATCCCTTAAATTTTTTTTTTTATTCAAAATTTTTTTTTGATTTAGTGTTAATTTATTACATAGAACACATTTAGAGGGTGGTAGCAGACAATTTCAAAAAAAGTTGTTTTTAGTGGCACTCTAATATATATATATATATATATATATATATATATATATATATATATATATATATATATATATATATATATATATATATATATTTATATTTATATATATCCATTATTTATATCTACAAATTAGGGGAGGGAAGAATTTGAATATTTTTTTGACAATTGTTGACAAAGGGAGGCATTTGGGTGGTAGAGGCTTGTTTAACATAAAAGACAATAATCAAAAAGTTATACTTTTAGTTAATGATCATTCCAGTCACCTGAGCTATGGTGCATCTAAGTATTGTGAAGATACAAGAATTGTACTATACTGCTTGTACCCAAATGCTACACATGTGCAGCAACCTGCTGATGTTGGCATTATAAACTGACTTCAAGATTAATGGGCACATAAAGTTCAGATTTACAGAACAATTCACACAGGAGCTGCTATTACAAGTGAAAAATATTTCCTACTATGGCAATAAAAGCTATAATTCAACTGCTACAATTATGAAAAAAGCATTTGAATGCTGCTGAGTTAACTTTAACCAGCCACTCTCAACTTATCAACAAGCTCCACAGCCAATTTTCACATTTGATGTGGCTTAAAAACTTGCATTAGAAAGCCTAGAAAAAAGCTTGTCAGAAGCTGAGCTTAAGCAACAAAGACAGTACTAACAGTTTACAACAATGGTGCAGGTTATATGAAATATAGAGAGATATGGATGCAGAAGTACCATCAAAGCCTTCTGATAGCGCAGGTATGTATTCATATATTTATTATATTTTGATACTATTTTAATTTCATTTAAATAAAGTATTGAAGATAAATAGATATTTCAAGCAAAATAATAAGATACAACTTTACTAAATATGTGTATTTAATACACTATATGCTTAGTAGTTGTTGTACAAATAAAAAAAAAAACTTTAAAACAAAAAATTGATGTTCTCTAGATCTGGATAAAAATTGATGCCAATAATTGAGTCAAAGTGCCCATAACTTGGTACAACAAATCAACTTACTTATAATATTAATATATACTAGATTTTTTGCGCAAATGAAAAATTTATTGCATCAGGTCATTTACAAGGTATTTATCTAATACTGTGCCAAAAGATTTCATTCACTGGTACAACTTTTATACTGAAGTTAGTATCTAAAATAACCTTTAGGTGCCAATAACTGTGACACTACCATATTTACTGAAGCCAATAAGTATTCCTTACGTTTAAATAGTCTCCACTGGCAATAGCACAATATGCAAAAAAAAAAAAAATTTAAGGCCGTTTAACTGCAGCTTTACTGTATACATTTAACAATAAACACACGCACAAAATATATTTTTAAAATAAAGTTGAAAACCTACATGTAAAATAAAATGTACCTCGTCATTTTTACGAACGTCATTGCAACCTTTGGTCTTTCCACTAATATTAAAAACATTAATATATGTATTTTTTTATAACAATAACTCTGTTCCACATGGAGCTTTTAAGTTATAGTTGTATATGTCAAAAAACATCAAGTGTAGTTCCCAACTAATAATGTAATGTTTTTGTATTAACAATATAACCTATATTTTAAGTATATTTAACAATTGATAATCCTGCAGTTAAGCAGCGTAAAATAATTTACTTTTTTCGCTTGTGGTCTCTTGCTCAAAGACTTTGAGCAAGAGTGATGACTTTTTATATGAACTTTTGGACAAAGTGGTGACTTTTAAATATGAATAAAAATAGTATTATTGGCTTCAATACATATATCGACTATTTTATAGCCTACTGCTACAAGGCAGTCTTGCTTCATCGACTATTTTATAGCCTGGCAGCTCTTCCTCGTAGCAGCAGGCTGCCTGCTGCTACAAGGAAGTGCTGCTACATCGACTGAGAGTTTGACATGGGGCAGTAATCTTTATCCTTTTATTGTTTCAATTAACATTTCAAATGTATAAAAAAACTTCCACTGACAACAGCACACAAGCAAAAAAAATTAAAAATTACGCCGCGCTTAACTGCAGGATTACCAAACAATTTAGTTGGCAATTAAAATTTTTATTAAATAATTATAATATTATTTTATTAATAATATTGTTATATATTAGAACCTTAGTATTCACAAATGCTTTTAAACAACAGTTTACGAAAAAAAGGTAATGAATAACTTTGTTCAATATTGTTTTTTAATAATAACATTATTCAATAATGTAAAACAACGAAATCTTCACCTGACTTGTTCCATTAAAAAATTAATTCGCTTTTTAAAATAATTTTTATAGATATCAGTGACTTTACCGTATTTGAAGTTCTAAATCTGCGTTAACCTCGACAGGGGAGAACATAAGTTGAATAAAATAAAACAAAACCAGTTTATAAACAAAAATAAGCACAACGGTTGAGAAAACGATTAGCGTTACGTCACAGATCTTTCTGGAAGTTTCTTAGAACAGCTCAACACTTTATGACGTCAACACTTGAAAAATATAAATTTCAACGTTAATGAAATTTTTATAGAAGGCGCATAAAACGCAAAAGTAGAGAATTAGATAAATTTAGAGAGAGAGCCTGTATTAACTTGAGGTAAAAATTATTTTCTGAAGCCTAAATTAAGAATAGTTTTTCATAGAAGATTAGCACGTTTTGCTGGATATTTGAATATTTCTTTTCTTACTCTTTCTTGTCTTGTGTAATATATTTTATATTTACTTTAGTTAAAGTTATGCTATATCTGCGATTTTTTTCAGTGAAAAATGTCATTGTGGCACGTTCCTGTTCATAAATACTTCCAAACCGATCCATTTTTGGATGACATTATGGAAATAACTTTTCCTCCTTTAAGATATTATCCTTTATTTAATGTTGGAACAAATGCTGTTTCAAAAAAGAAGTCATCTCCCAAAGAGAATGGTTTTGCTGTAAATCTTGATGTAAAGCATTACAAGCCAGAAGAAGTTACTCTTAAAGTAGAAGGTAATTTTGATCTAAAATTAATAAATGGCGAGCTCTTAGCTAGCTTCTAATATTTTATATTCAATCGTCAGTTTCCGTTATCTAATTAGTTTTCCGTAGTTCTTAACAAATTAGTTTCCGCAATCAGTCTCATTAGTTGTCCGTATTTGTTTACAATATAAAAAAAAGTACGATTTTGGTATACTTTTTGATAAATGATTAGCTATTATTAGGTGCTATTAAATAATGCAAATCAAACAATTGAAGCCAAGCCAATTGTGATTCGTGGTAATAGAATTATCGCTGTTGTGTCGCAAATAACGCGGGCCATTATCTATTTATGGATTATGTATTTTTTATTTAAACTGGTAGGCTCACTATAGTGAAAACTATAAAATGTCTTGAACATATTCCTTTTAAGAAATATGTTCAAGACATTTTATAGTTTTTTTTCCTGTTTGTTAATCTTGTTTTTCGTTGTTTAGGTCAAGTTCTAGAAGTCAGTGGAAAGCATCGTAACGAAAATGAAAATGGATTTGAGTCTAGTGAGTTCCACAGAAAGTACACTATTCCCGATGACGTGGATGCGACAGCCCTTACGTCAAACATCAGCCAAGACGGCGTTTTGCATATAGAAGCTCCTAAAAAGCTCCCTGCATCTTCTGGAGAATCAACGAAAGAGACTTTTAAATGCTCTTTAGATGTACAAGGCTTCAAGCCGGAAGAAATTTCGATTCAAGTAAAAGGTAGAGATTTAGTCGTTCATGGTGAAGCAAAAACTGAAAACAGTGGCGAACACGGTTTAAGTTTCCACCACAAACAGTTTACCAAACACGTAGCTTTGCCAGATGATGTAGATCCATCTGAATTAAGTTCTCGCTATACGAAAGACTCTAAATTAACGATCGAAGCTCCGCGAAAGCAACTACAAGCTCCGCTCAAACTTGAAATCAAAATGGAAGAATAGTTGAACTGTTATGTTTTTTTCGCTTGGTAATTTTACTTTAGATTGTTTTTATAAATTTTTGTAATAATTTATTTAAAGAAAAAAAGTATTTATTAATTGAACTCTGTAGTTTATTTTTTAAAAAGTAGTTGGCTTAAAAAATAGAAGTTTCGGGCTGAGAAAAGACTCAAAAATATAGTTTATATACATTCTATAGTTTTTATTACCTAAAATGTATATCGAAAAAATAATTTTAAAGAATCATTAAAAATAAAGATAGCGAAAAGAAACCTCAGAAAACAATTTTTAAATTTATGTTTCATTCAAGTCTACAAAATAAAATATTTTCATTAGAAATTAGTTTTTTTTTCTTGGTCATCTAATATAATACTAATTGTGCATCTTTGAATGTGAAAAATTTTCATACAATTAATTTAAAAACCAGCGATATTATAGATATTTAAAATAATCTTTTCCGTATAAAATAAAAATTCAGGTCATTACGATAAGTGGAAGGTGCTCTGAATATGTGCTCTCATAAGTGGAACGAGCCTCTGAATATGAAAACATTTTTGTTGTTGTAATTTGGACATACTTACAACGCAGTGAAATAAGAAAAAGTGTAAAAAAAATGTGTAAAAACGCCAACCTAGTTAATAAAATCAAGAAGGTGAAGATAACATAAGTAATAAAAACCATTTAATTTGGGGTCTCCTAAAGTTTTAATTTTTAAATCGTTTTATCTTAAAACTTTAAGATATGGAGATCAAAATAGTTTTAACCTGTTGTAAACCAGGTTATTTTAACCTGGTTAAACCTGGTTTACAACATTTTAACCATGAATATAAATAACTTAGTATAATTTTTCTCACATTTAGTTCCCATTAATACTATTATTTGGTTGGCATTAAAAAGTTATTAAACCGATGTTATAATGTTCCACTCATCAAGGAGACGGGAAGTAAAAGAAAAAATAATCATGTGCGCATGCGCAGTACAAGTTTTAATCTATTACAATTATTTTGTGTTTTTTCGATAACGTGTACAAAGTCAAACAACAAGAGTTCTATCTGTAGTTGACATAGGTTTTTCATAAAATGACTTTGCTATTTGATTCTCTTACTGATTCTATTTGATCGCATAAAAGTTAGGGATTTATTTGTTTACAGGTTTTTACAAGATTTTCAAATGAAATTTAGGACCATCAAACATTAAAAATTTAGGACCATCAAACACTTATGATAACTTGTATTACAAGTTATCATAACATCTAAAAGACTTTTTGAAAGAGAATTCATATCATTGGTTTTTCAAAAACAGCAACTTGATACAGTAACTTTTTTGTAACATACAACTAATCTAATAGAGACTTTTGATATTATTTCGACTTCCCTAGCATCGCACCAGTTTATAGATGTAATCTACTTTGACTTTGCTAAAGCTTTTGATTCCGTACCTTACACCAGACTCATGTTAAAATTACGGAATAAACGGCAAACTGCTACAATGGATTAATTCCTTCTTAGTAGGCAGAAAACAACGCGTTACAATTAACAATACTAGCTCTGACTGGGTTGATGTTCTTAGTGGTGTTCCTCAAGGTTCTGTTCTCGGCCCGCTCCTCTTTATTCTTTTTACAAACGATCTTGCCCAACTTACAGAAACTTCTGAAGTATTTGCAGACAATACTAAACTATTTTTCTAAAACTTCATCACAAACTAATTTTGTTGATCTGCAGGACCGTCTACGCTTAGTATACGAGTGGTCAAACACTTGGTTACTTAAATTAAACATTTCAAAATGCTGTGTTATTCATTATGGTAAAACTAATCCTTTTTAAAAAATAACCAAGGTATAAATGAAAGCCTAAGAAGCTCTGTTAAAGAGCGCAGTTTAGGAGTCATTTTTACATCTAACCTCAAGTGGAGTACACATATTCAATCAGTTGTCTCAAAATCTTTACAAATTCTTGGTATGCTAAAAAGGACATTCACCATTGTTGATGAAAAAATGGCTTTCAAATTATAAAAAGTGTTTATAAGACCACACCTGGAATATGCAGTACCTGTTTGGGCCCCGTATTTAAAAATACGTAGCTTTGGTCGAATCTGTTCAACGTAAAGCAGAAAAATGGGTTTTTAACTTGAGAAATCTTCAATACTATGAAAGACTTAAAAGACTAAACTTACCATCACTCGAGTTTCGGCGCCTACGATGCGATCTAATACAAATTTTTAAACTAATACATCGATTTCATATAATTAATAATATATATCAACCAAAATTTATTAACTCATTGTCACGTGGTCACCATCTTAAAATAAGAGGTGAATATGTTCCAAACTGTCTTTAAAAACACAACCAATTATATAATAGATCAGCAAAATACTGGAATGAACTACCCGAGCAAGTAACTTTATACTCCACTGTACTTTCTTTTAAAACTAGATTAGATAACTGGTTGAGGATAAAATTCGGAACGAATATTTATAAAACTGGTTGTTTATAGTAGGGTATTTTCCCTGCTCGTTGTTTGTATATATGGTATGTATATTTTACGGCTACAACTATAATAATAGTAATATTTTGTTACAGAGAATAATAATTTCTAGTAGAAATTTTCAAAGAAGAAAAAAAAGTAGAAGAAAGTTCCTTGCAATTTTCGAATAAACAAAAAAGCTATCTGAGAGGAAAATTGTGAAAAATGTTATTTTAGTTTAACCATTTTGACATTTCGATCCTAACCAGATCATAAAATAAAGTGATGCTAGATATTTTAAAACTTGCTTTAGGTAAACATTCTATCCAACGTGTTTTCTTCTCTTTGTCTCTGCAAAATCTTTAAAGGAGTATTTTCTACTTTGATATTTTTTGGCCCATATCGACGCCAAGCTGATAGTGTTTAGATTTTTAAACTAACGAATTGTGAGAATTTTAAAATCTATCAAAAAAACCCGATCAGCTTGGCGTCATTGTTATATGGTAATTTATATATATATATATATATATATATATATATATATATATATATATATATATATATATATATATATATATATATATATATATATATATATATATATATATATAATATATATATATATATATATATATATATATATATATATATATATATATATATATATATATATATATATATATATATATATATATATATACAGCCCCGCAGAGAGCCATAATTTTAGGCGGTGCAAGAGATATTTTTGGGCCCTTTACCCATAATTCTAATTCTAATATTTTAAACTATTACTGTATGCTTTTGCTGAATCAATTGTGGTTTAGTTCCACATTGGTTTTTGAAATCGGCAATTGTTCACAATGAGGATACAATCTTGCTTTACAGTTTTATTTCTAGCTTCAATTATTTCATTTACTAAATAATAATAATTTAAAGAATAATTATTAACTGTTTTGAATTATTGTTTTGTTTTTTTATGTAATTAGTTTTTCTTTCATTATTGGATTAAAGGATATTTCTGAAATAAAAATTCAGACTATTTGTTACGTTTCAACCATGTTCATTAATACAATAATCAATCTCAAAAAATATACAAGTACTAATAAAAACAGATTTTTAACAACTAGTTTATTTCAAGAATAGTTTATGTACAAAACAAAGGTGCTTTTCTTGCTTTTTTTGAAGCGAAATTTCGAATAACTTTGTCAAAATCAATTGACCTAGATATTGAAGATTAGAGACTCAACATTGCTAAATCCACTAACCGTCCTTTTAGCATTGTAGTTCTTAAAAAGTTTTTAATCAGTTTTAGTTTGCTGAATGAGCATTCAGCGGATGCAACTGTAGCAGGAATTGTTAAGAATATTCTCAAGCATACACAATTATTTGGAAATAGGCCATGTAAATTAGTTAAAACTAATCAAATTTAGGAGTTCAAAGGGGCTTAATTGATTCGATCCATAATTTGCATAATGTATAGATTTTATCTGTTTTATTTCCATTGCAATATCTTCGCTAACATTTGCTGAATACTCTTCACTTAATAATTTTGCTTTCATTTCCAATGTATCCAAATCAATATTGAGATAATTCCACATGAAACTAAACTTATTTGAAATGCTCTGTTTTTTTTGAATCTTACACTAAGGCCACCAATAATACTATCTAATACCACATAGAAAACAAATCTTCTAAAGAATGATTCCTCCATGGTCTCATCTTCATTTAAATCTGTTAACCCTTGATCCTCTGGCTCGCCAACAACTCTGGCTCTTTTGCGATTTGCACCACCACGTCCTCTTGATAATTTGACTTCTATATCCGAATTCATTGCAATTAGTGAGTCCAGTTAATCGTATTTTCAGTTATCCGGGTAATCGAGTATATTTATTTTCATTACCCGGGTACCCGGATATCCGGGTAAAGGAAAAAAAATTTACCCACACCATGTTGTGTTAATTAAATTTAAAATAAAATGCAACAGTTTTAGTTTTAAATCTATTTTTTATTTAAAAAATAATACTTTAAAAATACAAGTTTGTCAACCGTTTCCATTTTCAACTGATTTCGGGTTTTTGTGACAAAAGCTGAAGCTACCGAAAACACTCTTTCACTTACTGTTGAGGTTGGTTGTATTGTCAGTAATGCTGTAAAACGTTTTCCAATAGAGTCACCTCGTTTTGAACTATCTTTCTCCCACAACTTTATTTCTTTTTCCAATGTGGATTTTCTCTCATTATTTTCTTTCGGAACAGTCATAATTAATTCAACTGTTTTTTGGAGTTCATCATAATTTGAAACCAAACCATTATTTGAAATTATTTCTTCATTTTCAATTGTTAACTCTGTATCCATCTGTGTGTTTGCAGGATCTTCATTGAACAGCCTTTTGAAGGTTTCTTTAGCCAATAAATGAATAGAAATTTTTTAAAATAAGTTAAATTGCAGTTAATATCTGGTTTAGGATGATTTCCAGATTGTTGAAAACGCAAGAGTGATACAACATCCTCATTTCGTCTTTCTTCAATTCTTTTCTTCAAAGCAGTGAACATTTCCATGGCTAACTGCGCATTTGTTTCTTTTAGTTTGTTTAGCAAAAAAATGCATACTTCTTCGTTCAAAAAAATGCATACTCCTTCAGC